GTCAGCATTAAGTGTGGTAACTGTGCCATCTTGTGGAAGCAGAGCAGCTTTCTGACATATAATGTGCACGAGTATCTCCTTTGATCGGAAAACTGTTTAAACCAGACTGAGCAGTTTCTGCTGTCTGACCTTCAAGGTTATGCTGATGAATATAAATGAAGCTGACGGTGACAGCAGGGGGAGTGTCTGTGTGTTTTCTCCTGAGGGGTTAAAGGTGGAGGTGCTCTGCTTGCATTCAGAGGGTGCATTTAACAGTCAGGTCGGTCAGTATTGGTCTATGTATGATACGTTAGCTCAGAGATGAAGACCACAGCAGGTCAGGCTCTCCTCAGACATGATTATGAATGATTGTGATGCTTTGATGGCGTTACAGTTTGTGCAGTCAGGGCTCAAAGCATCATCCATGCAGACCAGCAGTGTTGGTTGGTTACTTAAAGAAAAACCAACTCTTACATCACTGTGATGGTGCTGGGTTAACTGGGTGCTTCTCGCAGCTTCAGATCGCACTGAGAGAACTTCAGAAGCAAACGTATTTTTCATAGTGTCTTTTATTTTGAAAAAAGACCAGATGCTCTATGCCGTTCCTCTGTCTGACTTCCTGCCCTCCTCAGCAGCTCTCTGTGACAAACGGTCACAACAGAGAGCTGTGGAATCACGAGAGCTGTCATGAGTGGACAGGATCAGCTCTGTCAGTCACATCTGAGCAGGAATGTGAGGAGGATTTTCCCTTCTTGCCAAATGCTTGAACAAAATAGCGCAACACAACCTAAAAGAGGAATATGATATCACACAGATATGTGAAGTGAAACAAAACGGGCCTCTCAACAACAACATGTGAAGAATTTCTCTTTGTATTATTACTTCGTAATAGAAACCTGATGGTTTATCATTATTTCTATGCGCAGTTAATTTTAGGTCCACCTTTAATGCGACTTCATCAAAATTGATTTCACACTGATGGCCGAGTTCTAATCGCACATAAGTTTATTTGCTCCTCCTTCAGGCCTTCAGTCACGCTTTCTCAGATTAATCTGATCCTCATATTTCACTTTATGTCACAAGATTTCGTGTATAGTGGGTATAGTGTGGGATTTAAAAAGTAAAGCTATGCTGTACTACAGTTACGGTACTCAGCTCCTGTCAGAACACAAATATAATAATAAGTCAATTATAATATCAATAAATCTGTATAACCTAAAAACAGCGTTGGGTCTCGTCCAGATCAGATAACATACGCTAGAAACTGTTATTTTACACACAGACTCTGAGACATCACTCAGCCTCCTCCTGCTCCACCTCAGCGCTAACAGTGAAGTTTCTCACACGTGTGGAGCTGCAGTGACCTTGCTGAGATAAAGCTGCTGCTGCTGCTGTGGGCTGACGGAGGAACCTTGGTGGAGGTTCCATGCCTGACGTTAACGCCGACAGGGGACCGGCTTCCTATAGAGACCGACCCTCCCACCCTCCTCCCTCTTTCCTGAGTCATCACGGCTCCGTAGCTGTCCCTCATCTCTAGCGCCGCCCACCAGCACCGCCTCCGCTTCAGAAACCGCAGGGGTTTGTCCCCTAAGCGACCCCTCCCATCTCCTCCTCTCCTCCTCCCATTGGTCTGCTCCTCCCCTCCTCCCCTCCCACCTCTATCACTCCTCTGTATCCCCTCTCTTCCTCTTCCTCCATCCTCTGTCCTCACTGCGAGCGTGTTTGAATTAGAGGACGAAGACGCAGAGGAAGAGCGTTTGGGAGCACATGCTCCCTGACAGGAGAGAGGGGGGAGGCTCGGCTTCTCCCTCCCCTCTTTTCCCTCCACAGCTGGAGGAAAAGATGTGAGGAGCACAGAGGAGCGGAGGACCACCTGACTGTCTGTCTGTCTGCCTGTCTGTCTGCCGGCATGCTGAGGAAACTGGTCTGCAGGCGGATCTGCTCCTGTAAGCTCCTCTTCCTCTGGACTAAATCAAATATCGATATCGATTCGCAGCCGTGATCGGTGATGAAGGTGCGGTGCGGGTACAGCTGTGATTCCAGGGGGAACGCGTGTGCCTGGTCTCGATCGTAAACACAGCAGGATTTTGTCTTTTCCTGGCCTGCTCTCTGCTGGATTGTTGTGTGGACAATGCATAGGAAGTGATGTGTGTTAGGGTTCAGGTCAGGAAGCTGCAGGAGCAAGTGTGATGAGTAAACACTGAAACTTTTAATCTACTTGTGTGTGATCAGAGTGGAAGGACGAGCTGATAAAAACTCAGCCGTGAAGGTTAAATCTGATGTGAAAGGATTCATTCTGTCGCCCATCCTCCTCTGATTCTGTAAATTATGTCTGTGGTGCACTTTGAGGGCTGTTGTCACCTCGTTTTCTTTGTCTCTGGCATTTGTAAGAATCCTCACACAAGTACAGTAAGTAACTTCTGAAATCCACCGAGGGCCTGTTTACTCTTATGTTTATGGTCACGTCTGTTCCTTTACTTAACAGGCAGAGGTTAGAACTGAAGAATTATGAGGCTTGATTCAAAGCTGTGCTTCTTTAGGTTGTGGCTAAAATGTAACCTCAGTGGTTCACTGTTAGCCAGGTGGATGTTTGGACTGATGCACTGAAATTGTCGTCTTTTCTGTACCGTTTGGTAACAATCTTTTATTTTCATGTAAAATAGCAGGAAATATTCTGCCTCAGACACATTCTCACTGCTGGAAATCGTCTGTGTGTTTCAAGAGCCTGTGCCTGTGTTGAGTTTGAATGGACTGGTACTTTTACAGCCATCTTCTACTCAGATTAAACACTTATAGTACTTGCTTACAATAAGCCTCATTCACCCACACGCTCATACAAGTGCTCTCTTTATTCTGTACCTAAGCCCTTTTAACCTCACACTCGAGTCATTATCTTTGCTGACATATGTCGGCATATGTCTCCTCCAGAGTTTCGATTAACAGATGACCCTCTCTGAGTCAAAGCCGCGATGTTTAAAGTAAAAAGAAAAGGCTCCTGTAATTAGGAGCAAGCAGGTTAAAGACCGGCTAATGTCCGACCTGCAACATATGAAAACAGATTGTTGATCAGAAAGTAGCTTTACCGACGCAGGCTTTTCTTTTTTCCTTATGAAACATCACCCGAGGCTTTTACAAGGCTTTTTAACAGTAAGACAGCACACTGGTGATGATGATACCCCTCTCAGAGAAGCCGTGATAAGATTAAATTCATCGATCGACAGAAAGCAAAGCGCCGTCCAAACGTCTTCTTATGTCACGCTGTTAGTAGCTGTAGTTTCAGAGCTGCTGTGGCTGGATTTTCATCTGGTGCTAACATGTTTGTCACCGTCCTGGTCCTCTCTCGGTGTCGCGCTCTGTTTGTGTTAGCGTGCTGAACTTGAGGTGACAGGTGAGGCTGCGTTATTCCCTCACACACACTCACAGTGTGTTATGCTGTGAGGAAGACCTCCAACCTGATGTCACATGACTGATGTGTTGGCTCAGCTCCCTGCTGCTCTGTGTGTGTTTGTGTGTGCGTGTGTGTGTTGAAACTCTAAATAATGAAAAAGGATTGATTGCTGGCCTGGCAGATTCCTGTGCTGAGGGGGGCTCACGTGGCGCTCTGGCGTCCACCGCAGGAGACATCTGCACAGGGCTGGGCCTCTTTCAGCTGCTTCTTGTTGCTGTATTTTGGTTCAATTACTGATCAGTTCAAATGTAATAGATTATATTTATAATGATTAGAGGTGAAACAGATGGTTTGCTGGATATTCTCCAGATCTGGCCCCTGAATTGTGAGGATTTGTTGCCTGTTTGTTTTACATGACAGGAAGAGAAGACAAAGACATCGCCATGTGCTCTGCTCATTTCCACATCCACAATCTTTACTCTCAGAAAACTGGTTTTAATTAGTAAGTAGATTACATGTAAGTTTTATTTAAAAGAACAATGTAAAATATTTAATTTAGTGGAATCTGATCAAATGAAATGTACTATTTAGCATATATTCAGTTTATACCAAACACATTTCCCTTAATGATTAATTTTGATAATATATATTTCAGCTGCATTTTACTCAGAATGATTGTTTCCTGTTTCTAAAGGGCAACAAATTATTTTATTAGTGTATTCATTTACTATGCTACCGTAGCTTTGCATGGTTCACAATTCAAAATAATCCATACTTGTCTTATACTGGGCTGTCATGCTTTAGCTCCTCCTCTAACGTTTTTTACTTTCAAAACGGGGCCTTGTAAACAGCAGGTAGGTGTCTGTATAATTAGGGATATATGCTTCTTTTTTTGGGATCAGTCTCATGTTCAGATCCTAGAGTAGAAAAAAACTGAGCACGTAAAGAACTTTGAGGCTCAGTGGGTTTATGTGTACATACACTGACATCATTAATTAAATATATATTTGGCATTATAGCAGTGTGTAACTAGCTGGACTAAAACATTTGTTTGTTAAAGATAAGTAATAAAAATACTCAGTATGACCCGTGTCCATTTATCATATCTATAATGATGTATGACAGCAACAAATATTCACATTGGAGAGTCTGAAACCAGCGGATTGTCTCATAAATGATCATTTGTATGCGATAATGTGTCAGTATCAAGCAGGGGAGATAAGGGAAACCATCAGTGTGACTCTCTGATGAAGCAAAGCTTTTATTTGTTTATAATAATCATAAAATCTGAGAGTGTGGAGGATAAATGTAGTCAGTTTTCAGATGGTTGCCCTGAGGATGTGAGTCGGTCCTCCTGTGGTCGCTCTGGCTGGGAACACAGGGCTAATTGTTGTCTTTATTGTCAGGGCATTGTGTCTCTGACCTGCTGCCCTCCTCGCCATTACCAGCTCGCTAATTCGGTGTTACAGGAATGCGAGTTATGCCCTCTGCGTCAGCTGAAGTCCAATCGCAGAAATGTCAGAGTCCTCCTGCTGCGCCGCATTGTTTGGATGCTCAGCAGTGGCGTTTTTCTTTGTGAGAACTTTGTTGTTCAGTCACATGACTGTCCCTCTCTTTTCTTCCTCCCCAACAGACAAGAACTTCGAGGACGATGACTCGGTGGACGGCGGCCGCTCCTCGTCCTCGTCCAAAGGAACCTCGCTGTCCGGGAGGAAGGCGGTGAGCATGGGTTCATTTCAACGCCATGCCCCCGGCAGCAAGTCTGCAGGTCAGAACCACCGCATCGCCACCCAAATTTATTCATGAGGATGTAAAAAACATAAGATGACAGTTTTTGCGTTTTGTGGATCTGTAATTCTTTCTGCTGTGTTTTCTGCAGGGAGGGACGGGTCCAGTGCTGGAGCCGTGGATGAGGAGGACTTCATCCAGGCGTTTGAAGATGTTCCCACAGTGCAGGTTAGTACATATGTGACATGTACTTCAAACGGCTGACCGTCTCCATCTGCAGGGAGTAAGACTCCTGCTCGTGTGTGGACCTTCTCCTCTCTCTCTCCTCCATCAGATCTACTCTAACAGGGAGGTGGAGGAAGCCATGACGAAGATTCGTGACGTGCTGTCGGACGACAAGCGGGACTGGGAGCTGAGAGTGGCAGCTGTAAGGACATGTCCTGACCTTGGCCCTCGCCTCAGTTTGAAATATCAGTGAAGGTGTGTGTGTACTGAACTTTTTTTGTGCTCCACCAGCTGAAGAAAGTGCGTTCGCTGCTACTGGCCGGTGCACCAGAGTTCGACGGCTTCCTGCAGCAGCTGCGTCTCATGGAGGCGGCGTTCAAGCTGTCTGCCAAGGACCTGCGATCTCAGGTGGTGAGGGAGGCCTGCATCACTCTGGGGTAAGGCACATGGCTCACAAGATAAAAGAAAAGGAAAATAAAACCAGGCTGATCGTCTCCTCCTGCCTGTCATTAGTGCACAGCTGAAATGAATCCATCTGTCTTCCTCTCCATCCATCAGACACCTGTCGTCAGTGCTCGGCAACCGGTTCGATCACGCAGCAGAGGCCATCATGCCAATACTCCTCAACCTGGTCCCCAACAGTGCCAAAGTCATGGCCACGTCCGGCGTGGCCGCCATCCATCTCATCCTCAGAGTACGTGCGATAAAGCAGAGGCTGCGAGCGGTTTCGATGCTGATCACTGACTATGACATTCAAGGAAGAAAAAAGTTTAACTTTAAACCTATTAAATCTTCATCCATGCATGGTCTGACTTAGCTGCTCTATCTGATCTGAACATGTTCTCCAGACATAACAATGTTAGCCTGATGTCATAACAGGATGGATTTCACAGAAAATTTGATCAAATCACATTTCATGTCCAGAAGAAAAGACTTGACTGTTGTCAGATGGAACAAATTTCTTTTTAAATGAATTCAAATGCAGGAGCTTGTCTGTCTGAAGTAAATTAAGAGAGCTCCTTCTGCCTTTTTCTCAACAGCACACACACTACCCACGCCTCATCCCCATCATCACCAGCAACTGTACCTCCAAATCTGTGGCTGTGCGAAGGTGAGACACACTCACATTTTCTCTTTGATCGTTTTTGTCTTTATAATTGTTTCATAATATTTTAGTGTGGTTTTATTTTTTTCCAGTTTCTTTGAGTTCAGTTTGTTTTATTATAGTTTTTATTATTATAATTATATGTTTATATTTATCATTAATTTATTATTGTTGATGGTATTTTTTTTTATCATGTTTATTTTTGATTCATGTTGTCTTTGTTTAATTTATTTTTATCTGTATATGTAGTATTGTGTTTTTAGTTTTTTCCTTTATTTTTGTGTTTTCTATATTTTGTTTTTGTTTTCATACATATGTAATTTCTTTTTTAAGTATTTTTCCTTTTTTATTTTATAAGTAGTAATTTTTATACCGTAAGTCCGTATTATGTAAATTATATTATTTTAATACTTATTTATTTTCTTAATTATAAACATGTTTTATTAATATTATTTCCTCATTTCTTGTTTTAATTTCATCCCAGTATTTTCTTTTAATTAAGCTTTTTATTACATTTATATTCATGTGTTTATGTTATATTTTCATATATTTTATTAATATTTATTTACATTTTAAATGTGAATTTATCAACTTTTTTTTCTTTCATTTCACTCTAATATTTTTCTAATTTAGCTTTATTTTATATATATTTCAATTTTATTTATATTTATTTGTTTTATAATATTTTTTATGTATATATTTCTTGCTTCATTTTTACATTAATTTAGATTTTAATATTCATGATTATTTCAAAAATAATTTGATTGCTTTCTTCCTGTTTGCAGGCGCTGCTTCGAGTTCTTGGACCTGCTGCTGCAGGAATGGCAGACGAGCTGTCTGGAGAGGTGAGGAAAAATAGAACAGTGGGTCAGCTGATGGCAGGGGTTCACAGTTTTAGTTGGATTAATGGTTAGTAGTATCTGAGGCGTGCCTTCAGCACTAACTGTGTGTAAACTGTGGAATACGCAGAGAGCCATGCAGTAAACACAAAACAATAGCAGTGACAGTGATTTGTGGGACACTTGGAGCGCTACATGCTACCTTGTGAGGAAATGCGACACCGGCCGGGTCAAGGTCTGTCTCAGCGGTTTCCATGGCAATGCCGGGGGATCTCTGTCTGCCACCAAAAAGCTCTTTGTGTTTCCACCCGGCTGCTTCCTGCAGCCGCCGCCGCCAGGGAGAAACCCGAGCTGACCCCTCAGTGTCAGGGGAGCGCTCTGGTTCTCATCGATCACTCAGTCAGAGGCTGTCTGTGTGCGGATCTGAGTCATTGAGCTACAAATCAGTTTTACTAAGAGAAAGGACTAAAAATGTTTTAATTTGAGAAAATTAGGTCTTTGATTTGAACCTCAGTACCTTTCTTTAGGTTTTGTTATTAAAAAAAAGGTCACAAGCTGTGATCGTTTTACTTTTTCCATCAGATTTAAATCCACACTTTGTGCTTTATTTGATAAGTTCTCTATGCAACTGCCTCCTGTTGCACATTCAGCACAATCTGAGCAACATCCCTAAATATTGATTAATAGAGCCATAAGAGACTAAAGTGCCAGCAGAGCTGATGGAGTGTAGGCTGCACAGCAGATGGCAGTTTAAAGGTCACTGCTGCAGTTAATGCTGGGGCGTGTGCAGGCTGCGACTCTTCCTGTCATTACAGCTGTGAGATAGTGCTGCATGCATGGTGGTTGAGTTTGACCATGCTGAATGACAGAGTAGTTTGGCCTGTTTTTATCTTCACTGACTGTACTTAATGTTAACGCCACTGAAACTTTGAGCCACAGTGATCTCAGTGGGACGCAAAAGTGGCAGCAAAGCTAAAGCAGCTGTAACAGTCATTAAGCTGATAAAATAATAAATATTAATAAAATATCCTAGATCAAACTTTAAAGGTTTTAGGGTGGCAAAACCCTAAAGTTTTATAAACGTTTCATTCAGCTAACCATGTGTCCCTAAACCTGCTTATTTTCAGCCTGAAAGGCTTTGGGTATTGTCGACACCATATATGTATGTATGTATAAAACACATCTTAACAACAAGGAGCACTGAGGATGGAGAAAAGAAATCAGCACACAAATAAACACGCGCATGTTCAAGCATTGTTTGCCTCTCAATGAAAGCAGGTACACGAACAGTTTTCCTGTTCTCCTCCACCTGCAGGCACGGCACAGTTTTAATGGAGACTATAAAGAAAGGGATCCATGATGCAGACGCTGAGGCTCGCTCTGTGGCCAGAAAGTAAGTCTGAGCGCACTCGCACCTTAAACCTACAGAAACAAAGGAAAAGGACATAAAAGCAGAATGTTTATCAGCCTGTGCCCTAATGGAGGTTTGTGGCCCTCTGGCTTGATGTTGCAGGTGTTACTGGAGCTTCCACAGTCACTTCAGCCGGGAGGCGGAGCAGCTGTTCCAGGGCCTGGAGTCGTCCTATCAGAAAGCTCTGCAGGCTCACCTGAGGAGCGGAGACAGTCTGATGTCGCTGCCCGCCTCTGACCGCTCCTCCTCCTCTTCTCAGGAGAGCCTCAAGTGAGACTTCCTCTCCTCCTCCCCGATTGATCAGTTTATTGATTAAAGTCATAAAGGGAGAAAAGGTTTTAATCTTTGTGGCCCTTCATCTAGTTTTTTGACTAACTCACATCTCTTTATCTTCTCACAAAGAGGAAAACACAAGGATGGAAGACTAGTTCTCACCCAATAACATATCTTTAATGTAGAAATAATGGAAACATCTAATCTATGTGTAGTTTTCTGCTCCTGGACTGATTATTGATCTTTTTGCTGTCATAGACTGAATAGAAATGACTGCATTAAGCGGTTTAAGCTTAAACTTGTCCTGTAGTCACATACAGTAGTGCTGCTGCCACACCAGCCCGCTCATTCGCTTCGAATGAATTTCTGCCTTTGCAGATCACTTTCTTGCTCCCGTCTCTTTCCTCTCTGTCACTTGACTCCTGTCTCATTAACATATTCAGGGCCTCATTGATCTTTGTGCCGTCCACGTCTAATAAAAAGCTGCTGTGTTGATGTGTGTGTGCGCCGCGGATGAGCTGTTTGTCACAGATGGTCTTTTTTTAAAAGATGTGATTTACAGCAGCAGAGAATGTAACTAATGTAACTAAGCCGTCCTGCTGATGAGGTGGGATTGTGATATTACAGTGTGGTATTCTGTCACACATTTGAATACGTACAAAATGCAGTTTTTAAATGATGATTTCATTTATTAAAGTAAAATGTATCCAACCTACCTCGCCCTGTGTGAAGAAGTAATCAATTCATACACTGAAGAAGTGGCCGAGTCGAAGTCTGCACTTAAATCCGATTGAAATGTTTTGGCCTTAAACGGGCTGTTCATGCTGGAAAACCCTCCAATGTGTCTGAATTAAAACAATTCTACAGAGAAGAGTGGGCCAGAATTCCTCCACAGTGATGTGAAAGACTCATTGTCAGCTATCACAAACACTTGTTTGCAGTTCTTGCTGCCAACGGTGGAACAACCAGTTATTAGTTTTAAAAAAAGAAATCAGGAAAACAGTGAATACTTTTCCACAGCTGTAAATGCAGGTCAATCAGTGTTTCAGTCTCATGTCAAAGGGCTTTTGTTTTGACACAAAGGAGCAGCACTGGCAGATTTTTGGGGGAAGTCTTGAATGATTTTGTGACAGTTGATATCTCACACTTACCATTTCTTTGCTGTTCTAAACAAGCTTCTCTCTTTCTCTTCTTCCACAGTCGACCTCTGTCTGCAAAAAGCACTGTTGGGAGCAGCTCAGCCCGATGTAAGGACTGTTTGTTTGGCTCTTCTGTTCATTTAGAAAAACCTAAATCTGCGTGCAGCAGATGATCTCCTGTCATGTTTTCTTTGAGCTTTAAGAGGAGCACGTATTTGTCTAGTGTGTGTTCCTCAATAAAAGCTCTGTTATCACCTAAATGCAAGAAAATTCGATTTGTTAAAGCAAAAAAGGCACCAGAGGTGATCTAATCTGATCTGCCTCTGATCAAGTTGATTTGCCGTTAAACAGTTTGACTTTATCTGTCCTTCTCCAGCCAAACCCGCCCACACCTCCAGGATGCCGGCTGCCGCCTCCTCCCCCGGCTCACTCCAGCGCTCCCGCAGCGACGTGGACGTAAACGCTGCGGCCAGCGCCACCGCCCGCACGAGGATGCCTGCCGTACCCTCCACTGTGCCGTCGTCGGCCTCGCCCTTCAGCTCTGCCTCGGCGCTGCCTCCTGGATCCTACGCTTCACTGGGTGAGACAGCCGCTCACGTTGCAGTTATCCTGCTCCACACTCTGCTGTTGCTTCTAGCTGCAAACTGGACCAGCAGCTCCACTTATAGCAACGTATTTAACCTAAAAGCACGACCACGAGCACAGGCCGATTTATGCAAAAATCACAGAGCACACTTTATAAAAACAAAAAACAAAAAGATGGCTCAAAAGTTCACACAACAAAAACTAAAATAACAGTTTGTAGTAAAAAAATCACCATCTGCTGTTTGGTGCTAATGAAACCCAAACAAATACTTTGAATAATTGCATTTATTCAGCTTCAGATTCTGCTGCTTTTTATATAATTTGATGTCTTTCAGGCAGGAGGTCTTATGATCAGGATCAAGATGCTATTTCTATTTTTTCATTATATAATTGTCATGTTGGCTGATAATACGATTACTGAATCAATCTCAAATAAATAAATTGGTGTGGGCCGTTCATGCTTTTGTCTCAGGTTGATCTGATCTGATCATAAGCTCACCATCCAAATCAAATTTGCTGTGTATGCCCCCCTCCCACTACCACCCCTCCTCCGCCCCTCTAAAGCCTAACCTGTTGACCCTAAACCCTGTTGTGTTTCTCCCGGCCTCGCTCGCTTGTCAGACGGTTCGTGGTCTGTTAACGCAGACGGTAAGCTGTGTGGGTGTGGTGGGTGTTTTACCTCCATCAGTTCTGTAATGGTGGTCATCTGTAATCAGTGCATGGACTGTCTGTGCATGGTTTACTCCAGTTTCTCACACACGCGCACACACACACCTGGAAAACTACCAACCTGTGCGGTTACAAAGACAAATATGATGACAGAGTTACAAAGTAGCCGTAGCTTCTGCTTTGAGTCTGAAGTTGTTTTACGATCACATGCAGTTTTTCCTTGCTTGAGAACAGAGTCAGCTGATTGTGTAAATAACTGATTCTGCTCCTCAGCTGTAGTTTTGACATGTAGATAAATGTAAAGCATTAGAATGAAAAAATCAGCGTTTCCTGTCCTGAGAAGTGCAGTGTTAGTCCTCTGTTAGTCGGCCTGCAAACAGCTCAGACTTCACTGACTCTGAAGTCCCGCTCTGGCTGTCAGTACGTGGAGGCTTGAACTGCTCTCCATGTGGTCAGTAAACAAAATACCTTCCTGTGCTGGTGTCGGTAGGGTTTCATCCTGTAATTCACATCCCTGCATGGTGGTGTCAGATCTGTCAGAAATAAGAGGAACAGCCTGTGATGTTGTGGCTGTTGTGGCTCCTTTAACTCAGCCCTCAGCTGCAGAGCAGGCTGAATTCACTTCTTTGTGTCTAGTTTGAAACCAAATAAACCTAAAACTCTTCGCTGTAGCCATCGTTTGAGCTTTACGTGCAGTTGTGGCTCCTTTTACTGTTCACATTAACCTTTCAGCCTGTGAGTAACTGACTTACAGATATTTTCCTGCTGCCTTTTTTTTTTGGAAGACTTCACAAACGTGCGTCTCTGTGGCCTCGGCCATGGTTAAACTTCCACAGTCTGTGTTGACAGAAAGCGAACAGAGAGACCGGCCTAGTTACTGATGAAGAAAGCACTTCATCGCTGGCTGTGACGCAGATGCACACTGTGGCTGAAGGCTTCCCGGGCACACGTTGTGATTGATGTATACTTGAAAAGACAACAGAAAAAAAACACACAAGAGAGTCTCCTGATCCTCGCTGTGCCTCCAAAGCAGAAGCAGTGCCGACCTCCTGAGGGCACTGGTGGATGCTTTATCACCCCGTCTCTGTCACCCAGGCTCTGACACTCGTCTGGCTGTAACACCTGCCCATCAGCGAACATGGAGACCATGAAAAACTGTCCTGCTTTCTGTTTTCTTCCACTTCTTGGCTTGTGCAGCTGTTACGACATGGCCTTTGTTGTTCTATGTCAGAGCTCAGGATGTTTGTATCCACAGATTAGGGGAAAAAAGCTTTCTCTGCAGTGCATGAAGCAGCTGCTCAGACTTTCTAGTGATTCCTGGAAGCAGAGGACACACTTGCATCTACAGACATGTACAAAAGCAGGACTGCAGTCAGTCATGTGTCTCTGCTCGTATTTGATCAGGCAGACGAATCAAACAGAAGCAGCCCATAGACACACAGAGCTCCTAATGTAGGAGAGGAGGAGGTGATGGGGTGCTGAGTGGACCCAAATGTAGGACATGTGACCCAGATGGAGTTAGGCGGGACTCCCAACCAACGCCAGCTGTATTTACTATGTGTGTGTATACGTGTCTCTCCTTTACTGTGAACTTTATAACGTAATTGTTCCTGAGTCTTTGCACCAGTTCACTCACATTACAGCTCGTTAACCCGGAATGAAAGGTTGTTGGTGACGTGTTGAGACTTCCGTCTGCATGACGCACAGATTCCTCTCAGAGTCTGTAAATGTTGTGGCGTCTTTATATCTCCTCCATCTGTTTCTGTCTCCACATTTGAATCTGGCAGCTGAGACATTAGAGAAACAATTTGTTCTCAGTGACCAATAAATGCTTGTCATGTGACCCCTGCTACCCACAAAAACACCTTTAATGTTACCGTCTGCTGTCTTTATGGATTTAAAGCTCGTGTTCATGGATGACAGACTCTGTGTTTCTCTGGTCTTCAGGATGATCTGTATGGTTTTCCTCCCTTCAGTCTCAGTCCCTCTGTTGCTGCATGAAGCACACATGTAGGAAGTGTCACAGCAGTCTTAAGACTTCAGTGTGTTTGAGCTTTTGTCTTCCTGCGTCTCTGCCTCTGCAGGTCGAGTGCGAACAAGGAGGACAAGCTCAGGAAACGGTCCGTCAGTGACAGACACACGGGGCCGGAGTCGAGGGAAAGTCGTCTCTCAGTCCCAGCGTGAGTAACTCTGCTGCTTTTTTAGTGATATAGATCAAATTTAGATATCAGTCTGTTCAAATACATAGAGAAAATATAAACGTTTTTCTTAAATAACATTTCTGTGACTAAAAAATGGATTTGTAACTGTTTTTCATACTTTTCTAATCTTACCACTTATTTGGAAACCTAAACAAAGGTGTGACAGACATATGAACTGGTTCACCGAAATATGTCTTCCTGTGTTTCAGCTGGGAGTCGGTCAGGCTCTCCCGGGCGTCTGCTGAGCTCCACCTATGGCCGGATCCCCAGGCCCACCATGGGCACCGGTGCCACTGCCGCCGCCACGGGTAGCACCTCCACCAGCCTGACCGACAAGAGCCGACCTCGAGGTCACCGCAGCCAGGGCTGCAGCCGAGAGACCAGCCCCACCAGATCAGGCACGGGTATGGGAGGGAAGACAGACACATTTAAAAATGAAAGCATTTTTTTAAAAACACAGGTTTGGGAGCATTTGTGAAGAAGTTCAAGTTAAAAAGTGGAAAAAGAATTACTGAAAGTAAAAATCTGAGAACTTGGTATAAATATGATGCTGTCTGAAACAGTAAAGCCGGTCAGAATTGGCAGATCGGACTCCTTGTATGTGAGTCGACCTGCACGCTCGACTGGAGGCGAAAGACCTTCCTGGTTCGTCTTCCTGATGCTAACACCTGCTGCCTCCCCCCTCTCTGTCTCTGTCTCGCTCGCCTGCCTGCCTGACTCACTAACCGTCTCTGCTGGGCTTCAGGTGTGTCATGTCTGCCTAACCTCTCTTCCCTGCACCGCTCTCTGTCTGTCTGTGTGTCCGCCTCTGCAGCCCGGAGTCGCATCCCTCGACCGAGCATGAGTCAGGGCTGCAGCCGCGAAACCAGTCGCGAGAGCAGCCGCGACACCAGCCCGGCGCGGGGCTTCTCCCCCCTGGGTGAGTATGGTATCAAAAACTGAAGGCTGAGACAATCTCAGACGTCTGTCTGACTAAATCCTTACTTTTCCTGCTTTTTTATCTGCATGCTCTCTGTCTAATTGTCCAGGTTGTGTCTGCTGGTAATCCTTTAAAGTGCAGCTAATTGTTGTCTTTTAAGTTCCTCTGTAAAATAACATCCTCACTCCTGGTCTCTCCTTAACTTTGCGTCCTCCTTCAGCGTCCCGCCGTCACTCCCGTTCCACCAGCGCCCTGTCCTCTGCAGAGTGCTACTCAGGTGACCAGTGGAGCAGATTTAAACAGATAACGAAAACAAAAGCGGCTCAAAGCTTCCTGCCTCACCCTGCATGGCCAAAGTCGACTCTGCCTCCTGTGGTCAGAGTGGGAAGTAATCAATAATCAGTCAGATATTGGAAACCTTTACAGAGCAATCAGATGTAGCCTCCAGCCACAGATAAACCTTAAAGATGCTTAAGTGAAGTTTCCCACTCTGGTGCATGTAAAGCAGTACATCTCATTCACCTACAGGGGGCGGTACTAAACCAGTTTGGCCTGGTCCTTACAGTCATAGCTGCCTTTGTCATGTTTATCGCTACCAGGGGTGTAACGGTTCTGAATCAGGGTGCAAACGTCCGCAGTCTCCTGCCTCCACCCAGTAAATCTGTCAGATAAATATAAGCTGGTGCAGCTTTAAGGTGGAATACTCTGTGCCAGAGTACAACATACTCACAAAAACAGTCAAGATTCTCTAACAAAGTTCCTCGTTTTTGTTTATTAAACTCATCATTATGAGTTGGGCTGTCGGTGGGCTGTTAGCATGGTGAAAGCTAAAGATGCTTCAAGTAAAGAGAAAACTGGGAATACTTAATTCATTATCAGCTGATCATGCCCGTGATAAAGCAAATACTTGCCCGTATGTTTTGTAATTAACCTGACTATGGATCAGGCGAATCGTTACACCCCTACCTGTTGCTATGAAACGGCTACAGGAAACAGGAGTTCACGCTTGTAAATATTGAAGATAAAGTTTTGCTTCTCCTTCAGTTTGGTGTTTTGTTTTTGTTTTTTTGCAGAGCATCATGAAGTTTATTTCTCTCATGCAGTTTATGGAGTTTGTTATTTTTCACATTTTTTAGCGAGCGCTGCTGGGTTTTACTTCTGGAGTTCTGCTTGTGTTTTGCATTTCTTTGTATTTGAGTTGATTAAACAGGCTGTTCGCTGCTCAGATCTGGACTTGTGTTATATTATATTACATTCAAACAGCCTCTCTGCTCATCACTGTGGGTTTGGTCTGGTTTAAAGCAGTTACTTAAAAATTTGCAACCTGCACAGGTAAATAACACAAATTCTTCTCATGTAATTTGAACTCATTAAATTGTCTGAATTCACAAAAACGGGACCAAGACTCACGTCACTGTTATTGATCATCAGTTCTACATGAAGGAGATGTTTCTGTTTAATATTGAGGCGTGCCTGTGGATTTTAAAGCCTCTAATCAAACTGCTTCTCCTCCTCTGACCTCCTCCCATCAGACCGGCTGTCCCATCAGGCTCGGATCTCTGCCTCAGTCAATGCCATGAGGATCCTCAACACGGGCACCGAAGTCGAGGCTGCGGTCGCCGATGCTCTGGTGAGAACAGAAAACTGTTTTTGCCTTAATGTGAATACAAATGTGAATCAAAGATGTTGTCGCAGCTCTTTCAGCTCTGTTAATGCCCTCTCTGCTCTTTCTCTCTGGACTTTGTACATTTCAGCTCTTAGGAGACTCGAGGAGTAAGGTACAGGTAGATCTCACCTGTCACTGCATGCAGAGCATGAGCTGTGCACACTGACTTTAACGTTTTAAACATGGATGCAGTGATTTGCTTTATTTCAAGTTGTTTTAGCTTGGTAAAAGTTGCTTATCGCTCCATTAAAAGCAGCATGTTGATATGGACTCACAAGAGAGGGGGGAAAAACCCCAAAGTAACCTCATCCATCTCATGCGATGACACCAGAAGCATCCATGAGTCTGCCTGTGTAGCTGCATGCTACTTCTTCTGACAGCTGTACATTTACCCTGTGAAGTCTCGTCTTTACACTTAGCCTCTCTCATCTCCTCTCTGATGTAGCGGAGGCCAGTGAGGCGGCGGTTCGAGTCGCCGGGGATGTACTCAGACGACGACGCCAACAGCGACGCCTCCAGCGCCTGCTCTGAGCGCTCCTACAGCTCACGTAACGGCGGCGTGGCGCCGCACTACCTACGTCAGACGGAGGACGTGGCGGAGGTGCTGAACCACTGTGCCAGCGCCAACTGGTCCGAGAGGAAGGAGGGACTGCTGGGACTGCAGAACCTGCTCAAGAGCCAGAGGATGCTCAGGTGGGTGTGCCAACAGTAGAAAACAGGTCTGAAAAGCTCCGCCTCTGCAGGTTTGAGGACTTTTGGTTGATGTAAAGGGGCGGTGGATAAGAAACATGCTGGGTTATGAGCTTAATGTCAGGAGTTTTGTTAAAGAAGGGTTTAATAAAAGAAACCTTGTAGTCTTTGTACACTTCTAATCAACCTTGTACCTTGATGCTGGCAGTCAGCAGAAAGGTTAAAGCAGAGAGATTTTAGTGGTCAGTCCAGGCTGAGATCCAGAGGCTGTGTTTTCAACACACTCCTACTTCTGTTCAGATCTGTTTCAGCTACTGGAAATGCACTGTGCGCGGTTCAGGAGATGATCTCCAGTGAACTTGCTCTGTTGTAGCTATACACTGTATATAGTGATGGACGTGTATTCTAGTCTAAAAAGCCACACCCATCACTAGATACAAGTTTCTCATGACCCCTGGTCTTTTTTTATTTATGCAAGGGGGCGACTCCTCTGGTTTAAAACAAACAAACAAAAAAGGATATGAGAAAATGAGTGTGCTTCTCACCTCACTATTTTCTCTTCCTCTCAAAGTCGAGTTTATCTAATGAAGCTACAGTAAAGTAGAGAACTGTAATGTTTCCTGTTTCTTTACTCTGTCTGCACATAAAAGCTTTCTGTTGGCAACAAAATAACCGTGCCTGTTGTTTCAGTCGTGTGGAGCTGAAGAGGCTTTGTGAGATCTTCACCAGGATGTTTGCGGACCCTCACAGCAAGGTGAGACGGCAGCATGTTTCACACGTACTCTTATTAAAAGTGAAAGCCGACGTCAGAAAGCAGCAGTTCACACTTTCTGTGGAGAGAGAGGGGACAGTGAGAGCCGGAGGGATAAACCTGGGAGTTTGTTGTGACTCTGAAGCTGGGACGTGAGCGTCGTGGCTGATTTCACTGCTCTCGTGTCGTCACTAACAGCAGGACAAACTAACAGTGTGTGTTTTCTTGTTGCATGCCTCCTCGCTGCTGCGGACTCTAACAAACACCAGAGAGTAAGTGTTTGCTCTCACTCACATGAGAACTGTCTGCTGTCATATTTCACTGCGTGTGTACTCGTCTCAGACCAACATGTGCAGACAAACACTCAAACATCTCCTCCTCATCATCACCCCTGACTCTGTGACAGGTCTTCAGCATGTTCCTGGAGACTCTGGTGGACTTCATCGTGCTGCACAGGGACGACCTGTTGGACTGGCTCTTCGTCCTGCTCACACAGCTGCTGAAGAAGATGGGCGCCGACCTGCTGGGCTCTGTCCAGGCCAAAGTCCAGAAGGCTCTGGATGTCACGAGGTTAAGACTGAAACCTTTTCATCATTAAAGAAAAGTCCTGTATGCTTCTATCCTGCAGCAAATTAAACTCCAATCAACCAAACTCTGTGCAGGAAATAACACAAAAGAGCAACGAGTCACAGTTTTAGTAAAGGGGAAAGTGATCCTGTTATTTAATTTGGTCCTGCAGGTGGAGCACAGGAGATATTTTGCACTAAATGTTTTTTTTTTAAAGTTTATAAATTACTTTAGAATATGTGGAAATATAATATAAAGTATGTTGTGTGAACTCACTGAAGCAAGAGCAGCTGTTGTCAATAAAAAAGAGGGTGTAACTTCATCTCGTGTTCTGACCATGTTTTTCTCTCCTCCTTCCCGCCTCCATGCAGGGAGTCCTTCCCATACGAGCAGCAGTTCAACATCCTGATGCGCTTCATCGTGGATCAGACGCAGACCCCCAACCTGAAGGTGAAGGTGGCCATCCTGCGCTACATCGAGGCTCTGGCCAGGCAGATGGACCCAGCCGACTTTGTCAACTCCAGCGAGACACGCCTCGCCGTTTCCCGCATCATCACCTGGACCACCGAGCCCAAGAGCTCCGATGTCCGCAAGGTAGGAGGGCATGTCAGCCTCCATCTTCCTTAAAACACTCCCCCCTTTTCATCCCTTTAAATTCCTCTAAATGTTTCATTTTTTTTATATTTTCAGTTTTTTTGTTCTGTTTTTTTGTTTTTTTTTCATGTCTTAAATTTTTCCCCCTTAATGGTCCTTCCTCCACCCACCTCACCCTTAGACCCTTCATAACTGGGCAGGGGAGGATTTCTCAGGCCGAACCAGCACCGTGGCCTCTCTGCCCGGGGAGGGCAACCTGGAGGAGAGGTGCAAGCAGGTAGATCCTCTACCAGTGAGCATGCGCAGCGTGAATAACCTCGTCTAACCCGGTCACAAAGAAGCGGGAAGCTGCTGTGAGCGTGTTTGTTCAGGCCCGCGTACAGAGGACATTAACCTGAGAGTGTGAGCGGGTTCTGTGAATGCTTTTCAGCACTAACTGCTGGCAAATGGTGAAAACGGTGGAGAGGTGTCTGTGTACCTGAGGTGTGTGCATGAGATGCTGCAGCTGAGTGCAGCTTTAAGACTAACTCTGCCGACCATTATGATGTTTCTCTTATTATCAGGCATGAATCTGACCTTTAACCTTTACAGTAAAACATGAAACATTCGAATCATTTGAAAGGAAACTGAGTGATAAATGCTTCCTTTAGCTTTTGCTTAACAAGTTCAATTGACATGCTGCATGTTAACAGAACTATTACTTTTATTTTTCTTGTTATATTTTTTCCTCTTCCAATTAAAATGGTCAAAGTTTCAGAGAATCGCAGTCTTTGCACAAATCTCCAAAAGTTGATTCTGTTCCTCTGGACGCAGCGTTTTCAGTGAGAGAAACGTTTTGTCACTCATCGAAGTGACTTCTTCAGTCTCAGCTGACTGCAGGTTTCTCTAATCTTATAAACAGTACATTTGCATAATGACTGAAACCAGCCCACTGAAGGAACAATGGGCTGGGAGGTCAGTTCCTTAATCGTAATTATGCAAATTCTCATGACCATTGATCAACAACCACTGACCAATGGCCATGAGTACCATTCACAGAGAGTTGGGGAATGGCTGCAATCACAGCATTGTAAGATGGTGACAGATGTACCCTTAGGCCCCCTCCTCGATTCAGAGATGGTCTTTCCCTTTTCACGTTAATGGCCTCCTTGACTCTTCGCTCAAACCAGCGTTCCTCCCTGTCCAGGATGTGTACTTCCTCATCCTTGAAAGAGTGTCCACTGGCCTGTAGGTGTGAACAGACTGCAGAGTCCTGGCCTGATGAGGTAGCTCTTCTGTGTTGTGCCATCAGCTTCGCCAGAGGTTGTTTGGTTTCCCCGATGTATAAATCCTGGCACTTAACAAGAGGTCAAATTGCTCCAAACTCTCAGTTTTTGGGGTTTTTTTTGTCACAGAAGTTCCATCCACCTGCTGTTCAAACCTTGAGTTTGCAAAGGGCAGCCAATCAGAAAAAAGCTGGCTTAATTGTGGACAAACTAAAATAAAATAAACAAAGAATATTTTGAACTGTAAATCATGCAAAGCCCAGAATTAAAATATGGTGCACAATAGGTCCACTTTAAAGTGGAAGCCAGGGTTATAATAAGTGAACACTGCTGAAGCCATGTTTACTCAGAGTTGATTTCTCTGTGCGAGGATTTAATCTTTGAAAGCACTCTGTCTTAATTTGTGGAGAAATTGTGGTACGGTTTTTGTTACTGCTGGACTTTGTCTGTTACTAACTGTTGAAAGGTTGGAGGTAAACAGGTTTACTTAAAAACAAAAAAAGGTCTGGGCATTAAAGCATGCTGATAAACTTGTGCATGAAATTGAAGGCTTTTATTCTGAAGGTCTGAAGGTCTAAAGGTCTAAAATTAACTGGGGACTTTTACTTTAAAAGTAGGGCTGAACGATTATGGAAAATAATCTAATTGCGATTTTTTGCCCCAATATTGCGATTGCGATGCGATATGCGATTATTTTTTAAGGTATTTGTCTTCTGTATTATTAAACAAAGACAAGCAATACATCATATAGTATGGCCAATACTATATTACATTAATTTTAAACTGTTCTTTCCTGGAAGACAGACCTCTGTTATGATGACATGAGGTGATGCATGAATTGATGACTGACATTTTTATTTAACTTCTTCAATCACAACAGTATATTTGAACATACACAATAGTTTATTTTTAGCTTACAAACATCTGAGCATAAAGTGCTGGCAAGGAACCCTGGTGTAAACATTAAAATGAAAGTCAGTACAATGTGCAGATTGCAGAAATATACATAAACAAAATCAGTGGCTTTACCACACTCAGTTTTTCGACATCTGTGAATTACTAGACAGTCATTCAATTAAAAAATAATATTAAATAAATAAAACTAATAAATAAAAAATACACACATCTTACTGATCTCTGTAGTCAGTAACATTACACATAAAGTGCAAACATAATAGCAATTGTATAAACACACACACAAACACGCCTTTAAATTTAAAGGCGTGAAATTGGACGGTCTAGCCTTCTGATTAGCTAATCAGAAGGCTAGTTCTGATTAGCGTCACCGCTGTCTCGGTGGAGTTTAATAAACTCGGCCGTCTGCTTCTTGCTATCTAAAATATAACCAGACACTGGCGTAAATTCTCGACTGTCTCATATTTCTGTTTAATAAGTTTTCTGTTTGACGTTTAGTCAGCTGTGTGAAAACCAAGGAGGAACCCACCCGGGGGATTAATAAAGTTTTATTTTATCTAATCTAATAACTTTAATCTCAGCCAAACCGATTTACTCACGAACAAACAAAACACTGAAAAAAGCCCAACAATAACATTTTTAGGTTGTCTAAGTGACTTATATATTACGTTTAACCCGAGCAGCGAAACTCCGCGGTGATCTGAAAATGATGTGCCGGGAGTTGTGCCGTTCTCGGCCGCATCAGTAACCCTCGAGCTCCCGGCTAGCTGTCGAGCTGGTGGGTAGCAGACGCCTCTGAAAACGTCGAAGCACTTTTGCAAATATGGGATATCTTGATAAACCGAGCAGATATTTGATGTTTACACAACTACTTTCTCGCCTGAAAATATGTTAAAAGTTTATTTTGTGACCCAGAAAGATTAGTATGAGTAATTTTAAAACTTAGTAGCGGCCGCCATTGCTGGAAACTGGAGTTTGGCTGGGCCGCGCTATGAATTCTGGGATATGGTAGTAATTTGGACAGCCTTCGGCGCGTCGCTGTGACGTAATCGGTCTACAAATGCGGCCTCAGGAGGATGCAGCCCATGAATTGTATAATATAATCGCAGTATAATCGCAGCCTTTGCGGTTAGAAAATTGCACTTGATCATGTCGCGATATTATCGCAAATGCGATATATCGTTCAGCCCTATTTAAAAGTCCCACAACACTGAAGTATCTAAGGCTACGTTCACACTGCAGGTCTTAATGCTCAATTCCGATTTTTTGATCAAATCTGATTTTTTTGTCTGCTCGTTCACACTGCAAATAAAATGTGACAGCAAACGTGCTCTAGTGTGAACCCTCAAAGCGGCACACATGCACAAAAGACGACGTCACACACAACGTGCTCTGTTTAGACTCAGAGCAAACAGTATTGTTTGACTGTTGGCCGTTAATATAAAGACTTGTTTCGGACGTTTGTTTCGTTTCCCAATTTTGCTTTAAGTTATTTTGTTATTTTGTTATTTACATATGGCCTAATAATGATCCTTATTGCTGTTTTAGAGGAGCGGTGCTTCAAAGGATAGTTGCTGATTTCTGTCAGAATCTGCAGATTATACAGCACAAATAAAATGTTCACATTTCTCCAACGTTGTCTTCCCAACAGTTTCACTGACATCTACACGGGATGGCCAGGAAGCGTTCACGATGTCTTCTCCGGCGCTGATAATTGGCGTCTGTCTTGTGTCACTGACATAAAAGACGGATTTAATGCGACATGACCATTCAAACAGCAGTCGCTTTCTAAAACATCAGATATGTATCGGATTCAGTACCACATACGAAAGTGACCCAGGATGGATTTGACAATATCGGATTTGTGCTGTTCACACTGTCATGCCATGAACGCATATGGGTTGCATAGGGTCAAAAAAGTTTAGCTTTCGCCTGCAGTGTGAACGTAGCCTAAGCGTCATGCAATAAATAGCTAGATGCTTTTATTTTTGAAAAAGTGAAACTGAAGCATCATGTAAAATTCCTGTGACTAACAGGAAGCTTTTATTTTGAACTACAGCATTATCTGGTATCATTCACGTCTGCATGGTGCTTCAGTGCGGCTGACTGTTGCAATAAAATGCTGCAAAACAATATTTTGTTTTATTTCAAACAGGTTAATTTACTTCTGGCTGTCCTTTATAACAGAGCGAAAGCTTTTCTTCATGTTCAGTGCCAAAATCAGTGCAGTGACAGTCATTAAACATCAGTAAAGTGATGTGTAACATGTTTTCTTTGTGTGTGCAGGCAGCCCAGGTGGTGTTGATCGCCCTCTTTGAGCTGAACACTCCAGAGTTCACCATGCTGCTGGGTGCTCTGCCCAAAACCTTCCAGGACGGGACAACAAAGCTGCTGCACAACCACCTGAGGAACGCCAGTGCCAACAGCAGCATCAGCATGGTAACACACACACACACACACACACACACACACACACACACACACACACACACACACACACAGGCTCAAATATGGAGATGTTTGCATTCAGATTCATTTAAACAACATTCTTTCAGGATGTTTTTTTAAAGATTTTATTTCCAGGAGGTCTTATTCCTTTATTTATTGATCTATACCAGAATATATTGATAAATCATCGTAGCCTGACCTTGATAACTAATATCGTAACACACTTTAGGACTTTAACTCAAACAATAAATATGTCACATGGCTGTAGATGTTTGTAATTGACTTTACGATTATTGATTAGACAAAATAATCATTTTAAAGAAGAGTTTTAGGCTTTTTTGTTGTTTGTGTTGTATAGATGCACAAACACACTTGTTTTGATAAATATAGTAGTTTCTGTATGTGTGCTGTTCCTCTTATCCTTACATCATCACAGCTGTGGCTTTCTGAATGTTCTCACATTAAATCCAGACACTTGTGTTTCATGGATCCGCAGGCGTCTCCCAGTAACTCGGCAGGTCGGACGCCCCTGCGACAGCCCAGCAGCCGCAGCAGCCCGCTGACCTCCCCCACAAACTGCTCCCACGGCGGCCTTTCCCCCAGGTACAGAAACGGCCCCGCCATCGCCACACCTAAAATTCAAACCACGTTTCCTGTGTATAATTTTATCCACACCGATAAAATTGTGGCTTCAGCAGTTCATCCTTCATTTCTGCCATCGTCCAGACTTTTATTTTGAAGCTCAGGTTATAACGCAGCGGGCGTATTTCCCCGTGTCTTCTCTTTGTTCGCTCGTTAACAGAGGAGTGTAAAGCTGCACTGAGGGGTCGCCACAGAGTTTAGATGTTGACCACTCCACTGTGGAGCCATTGAAGAGCTCAAAATCAGAGCCAAAGCTCAAAGTCTAAACTTGCGGTTTGATGCTTTGTTTTAAAAGAACGTCAGAATTTTAGGCTCATGTTCGGCTCCGTGCGTCTCTTCCTGAAGCTTCGTGTGATTTAAGACGTTTTCTCCTCTCAGCCAATCAGCAGGTTTCCTCACAGCTGTCATACTAATGATCCCTCCGCCTGTACTAATTCTGACTGAGAGCACTGCTTCTCCTTATCTTCCACTCTTTTCACATCTCTTCTTCTCTCCGGGCTCCTCCTCCACCTCTTCCTCCCCGGCTGGTCACAGTCGGCTGTGGGGTTGGAGCGCAGACGGCCTCTCCAAGTTCCCTCCTCCACCCTTCCCCTCCCCTCTTCCTCCACCCACTGCCCACTCCTCCCTCAAGGCCCTGCGGCGAGCTTACTCACCCAGGTAACCCTTCTTCCTCCCCCTCCTCCTCCTCCCTCCTCTGTACGGGGTTTCACAGTTTAACAGTTGGATCTGTCTCTGTAGTGATGAATGGATTTCTAAGCTTATTTTTAAAGATATTTTGGAGTTCTCTGTGAAACCTCGAGCTTCCATCAGTCTGTCGTCACCTCTGCTGCCTCGGTGCCTCCATCAGCTTCGTGTGTCTGTTTTGTCGTCATGGTGACTGAAAGGTGGCTTTCCTTCTGTCTCTCATCTGTCCGCGTGCGCTCGTCAACATGCACGGCTCTGCACTTCCTGTTTCCTGGTCATGGACAAACCATCCCTTGGTACAAGATTTGACTAATTTGTTTGGCACGCAGATGCTTTTGTGTTTGATCCATGTCAAGGAAAATGCCCTCAGTCGTCATTCACAATCTTCAAGATGAAAATGGAGCTGCTTCATGTCGCTGACATTAAAGGGATCATAGGTGCTGTTAAGAAGAAGAGCCTCTGTACTTCCACCAGTCTCTTAGAGGGACAGTCCACCTCAAAGACAGAGGCACACGTTCTTCCTCTGACCTGTGGTGCTCTTTATTCATCTCCACTGTTTTGATGCTTTGGATATATTGATGATTAAATGTCCTTCTAGCAGCAGTTATGTGGGCAGTGATCCTCTGATTTAATCGACTGTTCCCACGCGTCTCCTGCGCTGATCGAGGTTCTCATTCCTTGTAAACAGACACAAGCCCTCAGTAACTTTCCAGTCATCTTTTTCGGCCTCTCTGGCATTCACACCTGCCAGACAGCGTTAACATTAACGCTCCACTTCAAAGTTCAAAGTTTTACTAGCAGCAGCTAACTGCAGCAGGAGACAGAGACAAGTTTCACATGTCCTTTATATCGACTCGTATCGGACTACTTTCACACAAGTTTTATACCCTCCTCCAGAGTTAATAGATGTGGACACATATCGACAGCTGAGGCTGACTGACAGCCTACACTCACTACAGATGATCAGCAGACAGAGCTGTTTGTCCTACAGTGGCCACTGTAGCTAGAATTACGCACTGAACATGTCAGGGGTAAGAAAACAGAACTCAGTTTCTGCAGCCTACTGACATCTAGTGGTGAGTTTTTACAAACTGTAACTTTAAAGTTTTTCTTAAGAAATTTATTACAAGACAAACAAAAAGTAACACAGCAAGAGATGGACCGATCCGATATTACGTATCGGTATCGGTCCGATACTGACCTAAATTACTGGATCGGATATCGGAGAAAAATAAAAAATGTAATCCGATCCATTAAATATCACGAAAGCACCTCACAAAACTTGCAACACGCCGTAACTCACCTCAGAACGTCGGAGCAGTATGCATCACGTGATAGAGCAGCTGTGGCATGCGGGACCTGTCGGTGGTCTGGATAGCATGTGGAGCTTCGCTAGCAACCTGGCATTTCATCTCCGACAAAGTTATCCCCGAGAGAAGTAAAGCAAGTGTGTAAGTCCATCTCTGAATGTTTGTAAAGCATTCCCACGTTAAGCTTAACGAGCGACTGCCTCTCGCTCTCCGGCTGCTACTTCAATCGTGAAACTGCTTAATGATCAGCTGATCGGCTTTTCTGTCATGAGTCTCTCTTGTTTGTTTTTGGCCCACTTTGCGCCAGAAAGAGGAAACCAGCGGCTGAACAACAGCAGCACTTTTAAGCTTGATCAGCTGTTGTTAGAATGTATTTAATATTACTTTCTACTCGAGGATCTTTTTCTACAGCTGACGGCTGGTAACTGTGCAGGGGCGGATCTAGCAAAGTTTAGCCAGGGGGGCCGATAGGGCATTAACAGGGAAAAGGGGGCACAAAGACATACTTTTCTTTCTTATTCTCATTTAAAATGTCTAGCTTTTAATAAATAATTATCTGACACCCAAAGTTTTAATTTGATGTAAAATGAATAGAAGTCAATTACTGTATATAGTGACTATTAAGTCTAATATATATACCCTAGTAAGCTATAGTACATTTTCCTTTGGGAAGGTACCATCTGTGCAGTCTGCAATTTTGTTGAAGAAAGATGTTGAATCTATTTAATATTTCTTGAAAAATAATTGATTTCTGTGCATTTTTTTTCACACTGCATCAAATTAAGGTTGATTACGTTGATTAAGCATCATGAGGTGGAGTGTGAGGGGTGGTTCCCTATTTTTTATTTATTTATTTTTGTTGTTGCTGGGAGTTGGAACCCTATTAGTTAGGCTGCTTAATATTTACGCTAAGTACTCTTTAAAATACCAGAATAGGGAGGATGGTGTAGGTTTAAGTTTATTAGATTGATCAGTATTGCTGAACTATGAAATATTTTTTTGTATACAGGTATAACAGAATAGCTTTAGTGTAGTTGTTGTTTTAAACTTGAGTATGAACTTGCAGACTTGCAAAATGCAGCAAGATATTTTAAAAAACAGTTTTGTTGATTAAAAAACACTATATCGGATTCATATCGGTATCGGCAGATATCCAAATTTATGATATCGGTATCGGTATCGGACATAAAAAAGTGGTATCGTGCCATCTCTTAACACAGCACAGTCTGATCTAAACACCAGTTTTCTTCAAACCTCGAGTGGATTAACTGACCACCAAAGTAAAATGGGGACAACTATTAGTTTGTAGGGAAAGAAAAATATTTATAGCATTAAATTCCAATTGCATACAAGAAAATCCTGCTTTGAAGATCCTGGATAAACATGATGTAATGGATGAAAGTACCTCTGTGTTTGGGGATATAAAAAACCAAAAAGCCCAAACAGGTCTGGAGTCATTACTGCTGAGTTTTCCAAATGTGTTTTTGGTGCTTGGAGCAGCTCAGGGCGATTTAGTGCTGGGGCCGACGCCTCTACAGCTCCAGGTAAATATGGATAACACGCTCTACAGGCCAGAGGAAAAACATGTGAATCTGATTTAGCAATGAACTCTCCCTTTAAGTGACGATCCCCTGACGATGTTGCCTACATCCTGTCTAAAATGCCCATTGGACTTGTCTCGTGCTGCAGCATGCTGGAGTACGACAGCGAGAACCTGAACTCCGAGGAGATCTACAGCTCGCTGCGCGGTGTCACCGAGGCCATCCAGAACTTCAGCTTCCGCAGCCAGGAGGACCTGGTGGAACCGCTGAGGCGGGACGGCAAGAAGGATGGCGTTATGGTGAGGAGTTACAGGGAGGAACCAGAGGGCAGATAACTGAAATAACTGTTAAACATATTCAAATACAGATTATTTTTTTTGGGTTGTTTTTTTTTTTGGTCAAAAAGAAAAAAAAAAAAGATTATTTTATTTTGGAGTAAAGACTCCAGAATAACTCATCTGCTCCGCTGTCACTGAATCTTAGACTGGAGGCGGGGCTTCCTCGGACTCTGAACCTCGTCCCAGCGGTGATGCAGTGGAGGGCGGGCGCACTGCCCTGGACAACAAGACCTCTCTGCTGAACACGCCGTCTCCTCGATCCTTCGCCGGCCCGCGCTTCAGAGAGTACAACCCATACAACTACACGGACGGCATCAGTACGATGGATAAGGCTGCGCTGAAGGAGGCGCTGTACGAGGACGCTGTGGAGCAGCTGCGAGAAGGTGGGACCTTAGGACAAAAGCTGTGCAGGAGTGTGTGTCCTGCTGCGTCGGTAAAGATTCAGTTTTTCTGTCTTTCCCGTCCCACTCTGCAGGCCGCCGGCAGGAAAGTGTGGAAAACAAGATCCTGAACCCCAAAGGTTTCCCAGGTAAACTCACCAGAAAACCTCAGAGGTGAACAAATTATTTATTTGATCTTTGTTCTCATTTTTTTTTAAAAACTACCTCTTTCCCCTCCACCTACAGCCGGGGCTGCTGAGCAGCTGGAGCTGGTCGGAGAGCTGCTGAAGGAGCTCTCCCAGGGCCAGGCAGGGGAGCGGGGCCCTGAGGAGCGCCGGGGGACCCTGCTGGAGATGCTGAAGGTGGCCCGGGAGGACAGCTTGGTGGTGTGGGAAGAGCACTTTAAGACCATGCTGCTGCTCCTGCTCGAAACGCTGGGAGACAAAGACGTGAGGACGCGAGGCTTCCGTTGTTTTTGATTTTTTCCCCACTGCTGTAAATGTCCTGTGAGTGACTTGTTTCCTCTCGCTGTCCCAGCACACAATCCGGGCACTCGCCCTGCGAGTCCTAAAGGAGATTCTGAGGAACCAGCCCGCCCGCTTCAAGAACTACGCTGAGCTCACCATCATGAAGATGCTGGAGGCCCACAAAGACTCGCACAAGGAGGTGAGGATGAAAAAGAAACCAGAGGCCACTCCTCCGGTCTTCCTGTGATTCTGACCCTCATGGCGCTCCTTTCTTCTTTTGAAGGTGGTGCGGGCGGCCGAGGAGGCGGCCTCCACGCTGGCGGGCTCCATCCACCCCGAGCAGTGCATCAAGGTGCTCTGCCCCATCGTGCAGACGGCTGACTACCCCATCAACCTGGCCGCCATCAAGATGCAGACGAGGGCCATCGAACGCATCACCAGAGAGCCGCTGCACCAGCTGCTGCCTGACATCATCCCCGGACTCCTGCAGGTTTTTCATTCTTTAAATTTGTAGATGCTTTAACTGCTCATGAACACGCAAGATTAGCTCATGTTACGGACTTGTATCCACCATTTGGGCTCCAGTATGCAGGATGTGTGAACTGAAATGTATTTAATGTTTGAGTAAATGAAAACACTTAAAAATGGTTAAACTGTGTTATTACAAACACAAGAATACAATATGGTTAAAATCCAGAGACTTGTACAGGTAAGATAACCATGCAGCACACAAATAGACCGAGACTGCCTTTAGACAGTTTTTTATACTGAAATAAAACTAGTGTCAGTAGCACTCGTGTGTTTCATGTTGTACCTGAAAAGACTGAATTTAGACACATATTGAAATATCTTTTTAATTTCCTCTGCCGTATGATCAGCTTTATCCCAGAAATTATTCACACAGTCATCGGTGAGATAAACTCTTCTTTGTTTCAATTGTGTTGATATCAGTCTCTCCTTCTGCTGTTTCAGGGCTACGACAACACTGAGAGCAGCGTGAGGAAGGCCAGCGTCTTCTGCCTGGTGGCCATCTACTCTGTGATCGGAGAGGAGCTGAAGCCTTACCTGGCTCAGCTGACCGGCAGCAAGGTATTTCAGACTACACAGCTGAAACGGCATCCTACACGTAGAGACGATTCACCGCAGAAATATTAAGTCTTTAAAAGTACAGTGAAAGGGCGTTTGCAATCGTGCAGTTTGCCTGTTTTTCCCCTCTTTTAAATTCACTATTTTTGTGAGTAAATCTTTTTCTTGTAAGTTTGACAAAAGCTTTTAATTTTTAAATTTTTTCTTAATAATATTCAATTTTTGACAGATATTTGCTCTTTTTTTCATAATTTTGACAATTTTTTCTAGTAAATCTTTCTCATAAATTTATCTGTTTAACAGTATTTTTCTTGCATGTTGTACTTTTTTTTTCATAAATTTCCCAGTGTTTTTTTTCTTAATTGTGAACTAACCTAAACTGTGTTTACCTGTTTGAATGTTGTCATATAAATCAAGTTTTGTTACAATAACTTAACTTTAGTATAGTGTTTAAAGAGCAGTGAGCTTTAGATTATCTGCAGAGCTCTTGGAGTCCTCTGACCGCGCCGCTGTTTCCCTCCTGCAGATGAAGCTGCTGAACCTGTACATCAAGCGGGCGCAGACCTCCACCAGCAACAGCAGCAGCTCCTCTGACATCTCCTCCTACTAACTCCTGCAGCTTCCATCCTCGCAGACACGCTTATAAACGGTTTCATTCCATCAGCCGGTGATCGACCTGAGGGGCGACGTCACCACCAGTGGGATCATCATCAGTTTCTTTGTAGGACCAGGTGCCTGGCACCTCATCTTCTTGACCAGCTTCTGTTTCCCAAACCATCTTCCATCTCATTCCTTCAGCTGCTGATGGAGCTGAAGTCCCTGAGGAGCTCATGCTGTCACGGCTCCAGTTTCATGTCCATCATCCATAAAGTTCAGCTCGTTTTTTGGAGGTAGGGTGACCCTGGCTTTTGAGACGTTTCATGAAGATCCACCACTAGATGCATTAGCCTTAAGACTTCATCTTCCATCTTCCAGTATGGAAATGATAAATTTTTAGAGGCCGTGTGCCTGAAACCAAGATCTCCTCTTCCTCATCTCATCATCGTCGTCTTTAATCTCCTGGATGTGAGGTGCAGTTTGAAGCCGAGGAGATCGTGGAACCATGAAGGACCTGAAGAGGAGAGTTTTTGCAGTGTAGCTTCCTCCTTCTGTCAGTATTTTTATTCCTTTTTAGTACCTTTAATCCACTTCCTGGACACTGTTTTGCTTTGACACATCAAACCTTTTATTGAATGTAAAGAGCTTTGAGTGAGTGCGAGTCTCCTTCGTGAACTACTGCCTCATCGATGGGACGTTTTCCAGTTTTTAACATTTGAATGAGTTGTTACAGAAAGTGGCACTACGGTCTTTAAAAGGCTGAATCCCAGAGATAATCGAAAGATCAACGCAAGCTTTATTTTGAAAATGGGCTCATGCCTCTGTGAGTGCGATGGGAGAATCGACGGGGTTGCACTCAGTCCTGGAATAATCTATTTCAAAAGATGTGAAGCTCGTCTCAGTTTACAGTGATTGATCATTTGGCTGGCCAATGATTTTAAGCACTACAAATCAGCAAAGTTTTATTGTTCTGGGCCCGAGAACCAGCAGAAAACAGCAGTGTTTATATTTGAAAGTCATTTTTTAAGGTGTGAAAAAGAAGGAACAAATTATTTCTGTTTTTGTGGCACTCATCAGTTAGATTTCCATTTAATAGTCAAGGCTAAATATTTCACCTCACAGATCACAGTTTTCTACCTGAATTGGAAAAAAAATGTCAAATGGAAACGGCCGTGTTTTTAGATGAAGAACTAGACTTGTGAGTGAGAGTTATTTTGAAATCACAGGTTTGCTTTAGTTAGCTGTCTAAATGAGCTGTTGGAGATGAGGTGGAGGTTTGAAAGAGACAGACCGCACACACAGATTTAATATTCAGTGTTGGAAATTAGATTTGTCCTACATGCGCGTGAACAGCACTTTCTTGTATACGTGACTTTCACAATAAAAGCTTTAGCAGCAGCAGGGTAAATTTCAGCTGATTAAACAGCTTACAGAAGCATGTTGAAGAGCTGATTGTAGGATTTAAGTAATCTTAACTTTAGTTTAGGAAGTTTTGAAATTTAATGCTGCCTTTTATTTATATAAATGTTGTTTTTAAGAAGGTTTTAATATATTGCAGTGTTTGAGAAACAAGCTGTTAAAATACTGCGTTGGACTTCATTTCTAATTGTTAGAAAAAGTTTGAAAAATAGTGTAATTAGTCTTTAAATCATCATTAAATTATCAATATTTATGTTTAAATATGTGTTCCAGTTATCAACATAAAATGTGACTTCATTTAAGCTTTCATTACAGATCTCTACATATGACACAAAGATAACTCGGCAGCAGAAAATACTGACCTAAACACGTGTCGATTTCTCTGTAGCATTTCTGCTGATGTGAACATAGCAGGCAGATTTATTGAAAGACAAAGATTTCTTTTAAGTTGTGATAGGAAGGAAATTTTGCACACAACTGTAGAACATGGATGGATGGATGGATGGTCTGCCCAGTACTTTTTTGGGTTGATCCTAAATTTAAGGAGAGCTTTTCTTCTTTTCCCCTATTTCCGGTCAGAACTTTAAATGCATACTTTCATAAAAGTAGATATAAGAACCAGGACACTTAAAGCAATACTTTCCAATTACACACAAACATTTAAATATTATCACTAATTTCAAGTATAGCACTAATCCATCTTCTTATTTAAAAAAAAAAAAAGAAGTATTTATTTATTAAAAAATGTAAAAAATGACTGTCAGCTTGACAGACTGAGGACCACAATAAGAAAAATTCCAAAGAAAACATATTTTTGGTGATTGCTTTGGTCGTTCACTCATTTGGACTGTAAATATCCTCACCATCATCTAATTTATGTTAGACAACGTAAAGACTGAACTCACATTGTAAATGTTAATAAAAAAAATGCACATTTTGTGACCAAAAGGAGACAATAATTAAATACAGATTTATGATTTTTTTTTTTTTCAGGCCAAAGGTAGAAAGCTTCTCATCGTCCTACGTAAATATGAGACTGATATAACGAACAAAAAAGATTAAATTGTCTTTTATTGAGTTTTAAATGGAAAATCAAGCTGATGAGTGTCACATAAGTTTAATTTTTTTTTCAGCTATGGTGGGTTTTTAGTGGCTGTCAAAAACTAAAAGGTCAATCAGCTCCTAATTAAAACCACTGTAATGACAGCAGTGTTGCTCTCTCCTGTGAATTGAACGGCCCAGCTTGGGTTAAACTGGGAGTTGATTAGTTTTGATGACTGCTGTCAAGTTTAGACTACTGTGATTAGGGGACTTTCATTCCAAAATACTGTAATATATATATTAAAGCTCAAGCTGAAGGTCAAAATAAAGGCCTAAATATCTCAGAAATAGTATTAGCGGCCGTGCTCTCTGCATCAGCGGCTCCCAAATCGAATGTAAGTCACTTTTTTGACCTTTAAAATGTGAATGACAAACCTGTGGGAAAGATTGACGATCTGAATCATTAGATGCTACTACATGAGCGCGACAATGCTGAACTGCTGAATGGTGAAGTGCCAGTGGTAAAAAAAGAAACAGAGTGGACATTAGCAATAAACTTCAAGAAATCCAGCTGGGATTTCCTTGTGGAAACACTGTAGATTCCCATTTAGGTCCTCCTTTGAGACGCTCCGCCGGTCAGTGTAAAAAAGTGTCATTTTCAAATAAGCGCACCTATAATTAAACCTTCTGCTGCTTATTATAATACTAACAAACACGCCTAACCACTCTGGTGTATGTACTTTATCTCAGCAGGAAGTGTAGGTGAAGCGATGACGATGGAAAAACGACTGAAATTTTTAATAGTGATTGATCGACTGACTTTCCTGGTGCTGAACTCCGCCCATCACGCACACTGAGTCCAAACAAACGCTCCAGAGGGGGCAGAAGATGAGAAATAATCCAACATTTCCAGCAAAGTGATTTGTTTTCTTGCTGAGAGTCAGATGAGATTACAGAGATTCCATTCTGTAAATTTGGACCCTTTTCCCTTGTGTAGAAATGGCTTGCGTGGGGATCCGAACATTACAGATCATCCATCATTACAAGCTAAATTTTAGATATTTACAAGAATGTCAGAACTTTATCTGATTTTTCTAAGCATTTAGCTTAATTTAACTACATTTTCACTAACTAACATACAATAGTAGACAGTGCTAAGGAACATCCAAGTAAAATCCTAGAATTTGACTCCGTAAAACGAAAACTTCTTGAACAGCTAATCACAGCAACACAATGCATATCATGTGTCAGATAACTGCATTAAAATGCTCCAAAAGGGACTGAGCACAAACTGCCACTACATGCTGATGATGTGATTCTATTTATTATCCAAATATATTAATCACCTCAAGCCAGAGGTCCAGTTTAGGAACTCCAATAGGCTGAGGTGAAGTCTACCAGACAGCTAAAACCTATAGCTGCCTGTGACACACCATCTGGCCATCAAGCAGATAGGCCACGCCTTAATACATGTGAAACAGGTGATCCCAGTGTAGCATGGTCTCTACTTTAAACTAGTGGAATTTCTCAGTGAAATCAAGCTTTGTCTGTCAGTCTGGTTTTTATGAAATTACAATACCTACAAAACTTTGCAGCTCTTGCTCTGACCAAAACTGTTTTTGTAGCAGCTGTGAAGATGTTTACTTCAGCTATAAATTTGGACATTTTACCACAGTAGTCTATGGGGACACTGCCTCTAGCACACATTAGAGGATTTTCAGTTTCAGCATTAGTTTTACTTCCAACCTCTGGGGCTGAAAAGTGAAGCCAATATGGAATCTGTGTTTACATCTTCAGAGGTAGTGTGTTGTCGGATGCATGTAGAAATAAAAATGCTTTCTGTTCTTCCAAAATGCTATACCCACCCTCTCGAGGGTCCCAGTGTTTATTTCTGCACATTCCTGCATATACGTCTGACTCTCAGTAAAAAGCAAACATTTCCCAGAATGTCTTTAAAAGTGAAGGATGTTTCCAGGCCTTACTGAATCTCTTCCGACACATTACTTGGACTGTTAAATGTACTGTACCAGTGGCCGTTGTCACTCTTCTCAGCTTTGAGAATCTGATCAGCGTTTCCCTCTGAACTGAATGTCGAAGTCCTCCATAGCGTGTCCAGTCCAGTGGTGCTGATCCGGTGTTAAACTTGCTGCAGTTTAGGCTACAGTTTTGGCAACTAAAACTCAGTTCCCTTTATTTCAATCTACAGTGTAACTTGAAACTGTGTCTGCATGAGTGTGTCACAGGAATCGTTAAATGTAGTCAACTTGAAATTAAGATTTGAGAACATTATTTTGATTTCCTGATTGAGTGCCTTTGAGGAAAGATTTCTTGCAATACACCTGGTTGTTCTGTCCAATACTAACCTGTACTAACACTATGATTCACTGCTTCTGAAGGCGAGAAGAAAACCTTTTAATGATGCTGTAAATACGCTTCAAGCTTTTTTTTTCCCCATTCAAACGACTTACAGTGCATGGCTCCAGTTTGGTTTTTTTAGTTGGTTAGTTTCCTTTCATGCTACACAGTATTTATATTCTGTTTTATTTCCCTGTGTATGACTGTATATATTTACATGTTTGGTTCTCTTTCACCTGTGATAGATTTCGCAGAACTTGAAATAAACTATCAGACTTCTTTTCTCTATTGTCTTTATTACAACATTTGTGTTTTTTATCCAGGTCCAGTTTTCTACGAATTCATTTGACGTCTAAACTCAATTTAATCTTGGTCACAGGTATCTAATGAAGAGCAAATTTCAACTAAATATTAATAGATTTAAAGGACAAGTGGAGGAAAATTCTTCCCATTTTATAAGCTTTTAAATTGTTTTTATTACCCGTCATTGTAAAAGGCTGATGAAATATTGTTGTCACCCTGCTCTGCAGGCAGACAGCATAAACACCAAAGTTTTTGAATGTTCACTCAAGAACAAGGTGATGTAGGATTATGAAATTGATGCCGTAGGTGCAGCTGCTAAAAATTTAACCAGATATTAATGGGCATGTATGTTCATATTTGAGGCTGTATGTAAACTTCTGACCATATGTGAATTAGAGAAAATCGAAAATAAATTGAAACTTCTTGGTTTTTGAAATTATTAAAGGTGTATGCTGTACAATCATTAAAAAAACAAAAACATACAGTTCAAGGAAATCATTAAAAGCATAAGATTACCATTGGATTCATGGCCATGATGAGTTGAAACTCCTTTCCACAGCTGAAGGTCCATAAATACCTGCAGGCACCATAGGCAGAGGTCGAAATTCAGTTGAAATCAGACTACATTTGAATCTTTACTGGTAAACACTGGGTCTCACCTGACTAGAAATTCAGAAGTGAACCTGAAAGCGAGAGATGCAGCATAAGAAATTCAGTTTCTGTTTAGAGGAATGAGAAACTGAGCTCATTGAACATTTTGCTACAAAGCACAGCAGGGCTTCTGTCCAACACAGGTGATCATGATGATGCTGGTTGAAAAGACCAAATGTAAATTCTCCTCTTTCACAAATTAGGAATCAAACAAAGAATACAAAGACAAGCAAAGTCCACTTCTTTGACAAACATGAATTCTCTCATTTGAATAATTTACAGTTAATCTTGAGCTGTGATTGGCTTAAAAGTGATTAACTTTTTGTCTTTAGTTGTTCAACAATTTAGGAACTGATGCAGTGCATTGTAAATGTTGGATTGAGATTCTAATTCCCATTAAAATAAACTGACTTGAGCACTGCAAATGTTTCTGAGGAGGAATCCAACCAGCCAGCAAAGGTGCGGCATGAGTCAACACAAAACTCTAGATGGATGGCATTCCAACATTTACCAGATGAAATTGTGTCACAACAGAGTTTCACTTGAAAAGAATCAGTTTCTTTCCAAAGGAACATTAAACTGGGCTCACTGATCCTTTCATAACAGCACAACGGAGCTTCTCTCCAACACTGGTGAGTACAGATAATTATGACTGAACAGTTTGAAAGTCCAAATGTGGATCATCATCTAGAGACAAAGAAGCATGCAGCTAAATGTCTACTCTCAGGGTCAACTGGATCAACGGGTTTTCCTCAATAACGCAGCCGTCTTTACAAACACTGGTAAGTGCAACTCATCATAATTTACTGGTACAGCACAAATCTTCAGTTCACTTTGTTCATTCACATTGATTGTTTGTTAACGTTGTCATTTAGTCACAGATCCATATCTTGGCTATATTGTTATTTCGGGGCCACCAAACAGGTTGGAGTCAAATGCAGGACTCTAGAAAAAAGTTTAACAAAGTTCTGTTTAAAATTTAAGGTTCACAAAAGCTCAGGTAAAAGTTTTGCATAGTCAAGTCCAGGTTCCAAACACACAGACAATTCAACAGTTCCTTTTTGCACAGAATCTCTCAGAAACCAAAGTCTCCTTATCAATGATCTCCAGGTTATCTGCACAGAATGAACAGGTAAGAAGGTAGGAGAGGAAAAGAAGAGAAAGAGCAACAACACAGCAAGAGGACAGATGGACCATTTTTTCTTCTTCAACTTCCATCATTCGGTACTTTGCTCTACCTTCACATTCTTCCTCTTCTTGGTGTCCAAAGTCACCACTGCTGCCAATCAACATTCTCCCCTAATGTCTCCCCTTTCATATTGAACCTTTTGCCTATGATGTAGTCTAACTGTGGACATATTCCTCTACTCCTTTGTTCCTCCTTCATCTCATATGTGTTCACAAATATTTCCATCCTTTTCACAAACTCCGCCACCATTTGTCCTTCCTTTTCTCTCTCATTAACATCATAAATATCCAGCATCTCCTCAACACCTCTATAATTCTATGCCGTTCACCTACATGTCCATTAAAGTTTGCTCCAATCAGCACTCTCTCCCCCACTGGAGACACCCTGTACCACTTAATCCACCTACTCCAGAATTCTTCTTTCTCTTCTGACTGTTGAGTATTTACACTGACAACATTCAACATCACCCTTTTGGACTCATGATACTGTCTAACACCCACAACTGGTGTTGTCATCAAACAGATCTAACAGTTTAAAAAAACTGTGTAAAACTGAGTTTTTAGAGCAGTCTGAAGTGTAAACTTTGGGCTCACACGGATTACTCGATTACATTATTTAAAACTTTGGTCATGTTTAGCATGAACATCCACCACTGGAACAGGAGACATGTGACAGGAAAGTAGGAAAAGCAGAAGAAGTCCTCTTTAAATAGAATTAAAACTGAATTTTAAATAAAAACATTTTCTTTTCTTTCTCACTCAGAGTGCAGACATGTCTGCTGCCAGCTGTCTTCTATCTGAAGACATTTTCTGTGCTTCATCTGTCTGGATGTCTTCACTGATCCAGTCTCCACACCATGTGGACACAACTTCTGCAAAAACTGCATCAGTTAACACTGAGATATCAGTGAGAGGTGTCAGTGTCCTTTGTGTAAAAAGGTGTTTAGGATCAGACCTGAGGGTGAGTTTCGTCTCTGAGATGGTTTCGGAGTTTAGATCTGAAGCGGGTGGGGCCAGGTTTCACAATGAGCTCACCCGAAACCCTGGCTGATATAAGTAATTTATATAAATTTAGATATAAATTTCATTTATCCCCCCTCCTCATCCTCCTCTCCCCCCTCCTCGTCCTCCTCTTGGTCCTCCTTGTCCTTGTCGTCCTCTTCATCCTATACTTCTTCACCTCCACGTCCTCTTCCTCAGCCTCCTCTACTTCTCACTCTTTCTGCTCCCTCCATTGTACTCCACACACAGAGCTTACCTGTATTATAGTGCTTAGGCTGATTGCAAAGTGAACTAATTATCTAAAACAGTTTTCACATTTGACAGTGTGCCAGACAGTTGGCAAAATAGTATAAATAATGGCCGTAAATGTGTATAGTTTTGCTAGGAGTGCATTGATCATTTGGAAATTGAGTGTAAAGCAGTGAGTTGTGTTTACAGTTCTGCAAAAAGAGTGCTGTGCAGTCGATTGTAGCTACAGGTTTGCAAAGTGTGTGTTACAAAATGGCAAACTGAGTGCAAAGCAGTGTTTGTGCTTTTAGTTTTACAAACTCAGTGAGTGGTTTTGCTATAAGTATCAATAGTTTTTGAAAGTGTGCTATAAGAATCACAGTTAGGGTTTTAAGCATTCAGAAAAAACTGTAATTTCTCCTTAAAAACAAAATAACTGTTTCTTTACTTTTGGGTTTGTCTGTAAAATTTATCTACAGAAGTGCCTCCATAATCACCAAATTTATGATAGTTGGCCAACATGCTGCACTGAAAAAAATATGTTGTTGGATTTACTTAATTCAATGGTGGACATTTGTTGCACACAGATGTTTTGCTTCGGCAGCAACTTAAACAATTGAGTTAAATTAACACAATTTATTCATGTTCAATAAACCTGTGCAATTTGTGTTGATAAAATGTGACTTAAACATGTTTTGATGAAGTAATTTGAGCTCTTGGAGTATTTTAATCCTTCACAATTTTCTCACGTTATCCCAACACGATTCAATAACTTTTACCCAATACTACTTGGTCACTTAAATACTACATGTTATCTTCAAATTACATTTTGCTATTATATTCTAGTATCAAATACACAATTTTCAAATGGAGGCCTTATAACAGATTGTATTGTTCTCTTCCAAGATGGTTGCTGGCATCCACCAGTAACCTTTCAAAACAAAATGTCTAATTTCACTGCATTGACAGTAGGTAAAGAATTAAACTGACATTACTCCTCCATTGAATCTATATAAATCAACAGTTAAATAATGTCAGTTCTTCCGTGTTCTCTGGAATCAATCACAGTAAAGAAATTAGACTGTTTCTTTTGAAAAATGTTGGGAAAGAACAAATCAAAACATTCTATTTAAGGCCTCTGACATCAAGATTCAGTTAAACAACAATTATAACTAAACAATTTGAGGTAATGTTAGTTTCCATTAACATTAAATTAGGTTACTGAATTGGCAAACACCTTCCTATTAACACCTCCCATTTTACCCCAATAACTAAAGAAATTAGCACTTGCAGGTCAAAACCTTTATTCAAGAGACGCAAAAATAACATTGATACAGTGACTGTCAAAAATTACAGCACTGATCATACTGTGACATCTTGGTTCAAAACAGCACACTTAGAAATATTCAACGTTCTTTACTTCAACTGAATGAAATTGAAAATACCATTTCACACGACCCATATGGGATATTTAGACTGTATAACTGTTCACGCTACATCTCTTCACTAGTAAAAGAAAGAAAAATACAAAGACAAATTTAAAAATGCTGCCAAACAGACAAACAGAACTTGTACAGAGCAAAAGGAAAAACAAACAACAAAAAAAACGGCTTGTCCTCATGGCAGTTGCAGAGTATATAAAAATGAACCCTGCGATCCGTTCCTGGAATTGAGCTTCAAAAATGCAGCAGAACAAGTGTGAGATTTAAATGTCCTCTCACCTAGAGCTGGTCACCTCACATGCATAACAGTGAGCTTCGTTGCAGGAGCAGTTTTGTCTTAGTTGTGAGCTTTTCTTGAGAGCTGAGTTGCATCCAACTCCATTACCACCCTTTGAATCACCTCAAAAGTGTAGCAGAGTTGTGATGGGTAGCTCATGTTGAAGGAATAAAAAAGGTCCAAACAGCATGGCTA